ACTATACTTCTTTAGAACATTACCTATTGCAATATCCAAGTCTGATGTTGCGAAATTTCAATCTTCAGTAGTAAAGTATATTTGGGATAATAGGTGCTCCAGGCTAGCTCAAAAGGTCCTATACCGATCTAAAAGATGGGATGGATTGGGCGTACCCAATTTCTATCAATACTATAGGGCAGCGCGGATAGCACAACTGTCTTCGGTATATGGTCAAGGCTACTTGCCGGATTGGGTCTCAATGGAGGCACTCTCAGCGTCGAGTGCACCCATTGAGACACTTAAGTGGCTAAGCCCGAGACAGAGACCACCCATTTTGGCCCCAACATTATCTCAATCTTTGGCCCTATGGGATGTGGTCAGACAGAAAGAGGTTATGGTATCATCTTATACCCCTTTAGCACCTATGTTTAATAACCCGAATTTCCCCCCAAGCAGACAATCCAAAGCATTCTGTTGGTGGCAGGACAAGCACAGTTCTTCCAGGCACGGAAACCCATAACTTAATACTTATGTCAGGAGACTCTCACCATGCCGGTGACTGAACTATTCCATCTTCAACAAATACTCCACTTTTTGGGATCGTTGAGGTTACCCTCCCTGGATAAACCATTTAGCACTGCATATGAGAGGTGGTGCCTGGAGAATGGTGGACAGAGGAGGGGTATCTCAATAATATATCTTCTGGTAGATACGAAGACTAAACCACCTTTTATGTCAGAGTGGGAGATAGATATAGCAATCGATCTCCCGATAGCGGTTTGGCAGCAATGCTGCCTGCGAGGTCTCTCGGGGCTGCTCAACACTTCTTTAGCTGAAGCGAATTACAAAGTAATATCTAGATGGTATATGGTCCCCTCCAGGATGGCTAGGATATTTCCATGGACATCTCCCGACTGCTTCCGAGGTTGCTCATACATGGTGGCAGTGTCCTACGGTGCGATCCTTTTGGAACAGACTCGTTGCTCTTATATATAGAGTTGTTCGAGTCCATGTTCCAAAGGAGGCTCAATATGCTTTATTGAATTTCCCCATACCAGGAACCTCGAGAGCCCTAGACAAATTGATATCTTTTTTTCTTTCTGGCAGCTAAAATGACTATAGCAAAATCCTAGAGGCTACCAACGATACCTTTTCAACAGGTCAAAGCAAAACTATCATGGATAATGGTACATGAGAAGATGCAGAGCATCCTAACGGACTCTGAAAAGAGTTTTGAATTAACCTGGTCACCATGGATTTGCTATACGGGAGTGTCGGCTGTGGTCTGACTAGGTTTTAAATAACTACAATGTGGAATGGGAAAAGTGTTTAGGGAAGGCCCCTTTTCCCTCTTTTTTTTTCTTCTCCCTTTTCTTTCTGTCTCTCGTCCTTTTTTTTCCTTTTCTTTTGTCCTGTGTTGTGTGATGAATCCCTTGGTGTCACCAGACAATACCTTAAGCAAATGGGAGAGTATGCCCACTCGAGGACGCAGGGTCCACAATATATTGGGGTAATACAGGGATCAAAGTGGGTTAGATGAACCACCATTGGTTATAAAATCATAGATTGTAACCCACCCAAACTAGGATATTTCTATGGATACTCGAACACGTTTCGATACCTGTCAGTAGGTTGGGGTCTCTTGTCGATGAATCTCATACAATACATCCTGTCATATTGTTTATTACACGAGGTAGCTGGGTTATAGACATAAGAAAGCTTTAACAGCAATTTTTTTTTCTTTCTTTTATTGTTCAATTGATCATCTTTTGAGGATTCGGGCTCACAGCACAAGGAAATCTCAAGGAAATAGATTTAGTCACGCGGTTTATCTCACTAGGTATCTGGGGCACTGTCACAAGGAATGATGTACGTCGATTCCGTAATGAGAAAGTTTCAGGAGACTTTGCGCCATGGTCTCTCCCCTCATCACTACAAGATCTTGGGGAGAAATTAATGCAACTCTGCACCGAAATAAATGTTGTGTAATGATGTGTAATCAAAGCCAAAGGCGGTCCAATTAAATATTAAAGTGTGTAATATAGTAATGTGTCACTTGCAGTCGCCACTGGTCACTTGCACCCCATACAGCGATTAGACCTGAGATGACAGCCATGGTGCTCGCAGTGATAACACGGATGGCGCCATGTTTCCCAGAATCATGGAAGATGAAGATCACCAGCACTCAGCCAAAAGCATGGAGTTCATCTGCTGGTTTATTGAAGTAACATGTCACAAGAGTAATTTAGCCAACTTTTCGGTGCCATGCAGGCTCCCTTCATCAGGGCGACAGATATCAGATGAATGCCATGCTTTGTGCTGAGGTGTTGGTGATTGCCGTATTTCATATTAGAGTGTGTGAATTTTTTTTTTTGGGCCTGGCAGTGTAATTTTATTCATTATGTATAGTAGTGAGGGATTGGAACACCTGTCAGGTTTTTATTGCTGTCGGTGTCCCCATTAGGAAGATTCACCCTCTCTATTTGTCCTGGTGACTTATTACTGAAAGTGGAAGAAAATCCTCAATTTTAAATGGGATCAGATATAGATGAAAAATCTTCCAAAGGGGACACTAGTTCTGGTGACCCAGCTGATTGTGGCCAGGAATTTCCCTCTCCTTGGAGGGATTTTCATTCACTTCCTGTTGCTGCGATCAGAGAGGAAGTGAAGATAAATCTCCCCAAATGGAAAGATGGCAAAAAAAAAAGCTGACAGGTGTTATAAAACTCCGCTCCAAAATTAAGTCACTTTCTGGTTGCTTTTTATATTTACACACAATAGGAACTCATTGTACATTCCTGTGAATGCCTTTATTCCTGTGTGTATCAGAGGGACACTTGGCAGGAACCTGATGTACACCACTATGCCAGGTACAGCGAGCGGCCACACACACACACGGAAAGCTGCCGATTGGTCAGCTGTATCACGTGCCTAACATGGCCGCCCGTGGACCTAATTTTGTCCGTGAAGCAAGAGCCGCGCGCTAGCAGTGACGTCACGGGGCGGTTCCTTCCCCAGGATTCCAGGCGGTTCTGGAGAGGAAGCTTTGGGCGCCATTGTGCTACGGAGAGAAGTTGGAGGTCGGCGAGGTGGAGTAGCTTGGTCGATATCGGACTTGTGGTAAATATGTGCATGGGAGAGGTATGGGAGGTTTGGCTCCGTGCTGGTATTAGAGGAGTGACGCCATGCTGGACCTTGCTCCAGAGCGCTCCGTGATTGTCTCGTGAGTGGCGGCCCACAGGACCCGTCGCCCATAGAAACCAGGTATCTTATTTCATTGGAGGGCTGATGGGGGCTCAAGCTGGAGTGCTGCCTCGGTTTCTAGTGTGTCTGTTATGAAGGGCACCTGTGGAACACATGCGATGCGGAGTATTAGAGTCACTCGGCTCTCAGCAGCAGCTCACTATTTCTTCATCACAGCTCTGTTCAGTGACTGGGCGCAATACAAAGAAGCAAAGTGTGGGCCTCTGAGCTTACACAGAGCTGGGGACTATATCTGCATGCCATGTGACAGTGCTGACCAATCACAGGGAGAGATGAGTCACGTGGTCCTCCATACTTGGAGATAAAGACTAATTGTGCAGAATGGACCAGAGAGGTAGGTGTGTTGGTCACCTGGTAGAATCCTGGACCTGAGCGTCACTTCTGGGCTTGGGGCATTGGCTGAATGTGCAAGCGCGTAGGCACGCTAAGCATTACATCGGCAGTCTCAAACAGCTGATCGGGTCCAGATTTTTTACAATCTTATGTGCATCTATTGTGCATGTGCTAAGAAGCAGTGGTTGATATTAAAATTAACTTGTTTTGCACAAAAAAAACAACCTTAAAGGTAAACTTGATATTACATTTATAAATATTGGTTCTGTAAGTTTCTTGCAGACATATTTGATTTGAAAATCCTGTGTAGGACATTTCTGCTTTAACCCAAATTGCCTGTGACCTCAGCGTGTAAAAGGTCAATGTGACTGATCTAGGTGTGTAAAGCTTGCACACACCTGTGGACTGAATGAAATAAATAGAACAGTTTCCTCTGACGCTGAACAACATGGATGGACGAATCCCTCCGCTCTTTCTATAGTGTTCTGACAGCGGTCATTGCAGGCTGTCAGAATAACCCCAACAGTGCTTGCACTTGATTGGGTGAACGGTGTTTGTAGCCAAACATTTTTCAACATGTTCCTTCTGCAAAAGTCGATCTGAATATCGACTGCTGAGGGATTAGGGTCAGGAACGCAGCAAATTTCGTCTTGACTCCTGCTGGATTGGCTGAAATTCATAGGGGGAATTTATCAAAACTGGAGCAGATTAGCTTTGCAGCCAATCAGTTTCTATGTCTCATTTTCAAATCTTAACAGAACAAACTGAAGAGATGCTGATTGGTTGCCATGGGCAACTGCTCCAGATTCTGTTTGCTCCAGTTGTGATAAATCTCCCCCAGTGTGTGTACCTGACTTTGAGATGGTTTCTTTTTCAATAAAATTGCTTGTGCGTTCAAGAGTTCCCAGTACAAATAACACTGCTTAGCTGCAGCAAAATAATCATCTTTTCAATGTCCTAGCTGTAGGCTGTGTCACCCATGCCTGTCCTCAGAAAACTGTCCTAGTGTGAGGGACCTTTCCCGTCCTGCCTAGGACAGGACCAATGGTTGGACGTGCGACGCAGGAACAAGCTCTGGAACTCATTTGTTGGTGCCGGGTGTGCGTGTCCAATAGTTTCTCAAACTAGAAGAGACCACACGTGGCTTACAGCTCTGACATTGCTTCTTCTGCCAAAGCAAACAGTGCTTTTTTTTTCTTCTTAAACCGGGGACGTTTGAGTACATGGGCAATCTAATTGTATGCTTGAATACATGGGCAGTTTTATTGGAAAGGTGAACCTTGTTTTGTGACATTGTAGTGGAGCAGCAGCGATAAGTGTCAGCAAGTAGTCTTTGATGAACCTCACTTTAGCTCACACCATTCTTTGGATCTCTTAAAGTTACATTTTTAAATTAACAAACATGTTCTTTTATCTCCACAGTTAAGTTTAAAGTGTTGAGATCTTCAAGAAATTAAAAGGGAACTATTGTGCATTTTCTGTGAGTATGTTTTGTGAAATGGTTGCGCTTTACCCTAAATTAAATTTATGTTTCTACTGACTTTGTCTGGGGTAGGCAAACTCTGGCTCTCCAGCTGTGGTGAAACTACAAATCCCATAATACCTTAGGGTGTCAGTCTTGCAATGCCTCATGGGATTTGTAGTTGCACCACAGCTGGAG